CCACCTTAGGTGTATGTGGCTGGCGCCTTAGCCGCTTGAGCCATAGGCGCCAAGCCAGTATTTGCTTATTAATATGGTCTATTAAATTGTTTCAATATAATTTTTTTTCACAATTGGACAGCAAATTTTTCAATATCAGAGACTTCATCTTCTCTTTTCTATTTCCTTAACTCTGCCTAGTCATAAAGAATTTTTTAGGCAGTAAGTACTCTATACAGTAGGGCAGAAGTTATAATAGCCCAACCATTCCAGGAACCTGGAAGGTAGTAGGGTGATAGATCTTGTTATAGCATTTCAGTGAAATGAGAATGAGTTAATACTGCAGTTTGCGGGGGGGGGGGGGGGGTTTAGAGATGGAGTCTTAGTTTGTCACCCTCGGTAGAGTGCTGTGGCATCACAGCTCACAGCAACCTCTAGCTCTTGGGCTTAGGCGATTCTCTTGCCTCAGCCTCCCGAGTAGCTGGGACTACAGGTGCCCACCACAATGCCTGGTTATTTTTTCATTGCAGTTTGACCGGGGCCGGGTTTGAACCTGCCACCCTTGGTATATGGGGCCAGTGCCTACTCACAGAGCCACAGGTGCTGCCCTAATACTGCAGTATTGAAAGTGTTGTCCAATATAAGTAAAACACCTCAAAACTAGGGAAGAATTACATTGTAATGGGGAATTGAATTTGCTTATAAAGATAGTAAAATTGAGGAAATTAAGGATAAGAATAGTATTATGTGAAAATACAGAAATTTTTGTCATTATGTCTTTTAATCGTTAAGGAAACTGAAGGAAGGTTTTTAAATTATCATTAGTAGATCTATTATCAGTCTTCAATAATTTACAGTAGGTTATGAAAAAACAGATTTTTGTAAGTGAGGAAAACTGACCAGAGAAGCACAACATGTCATAGTACAAACCTGGGATTGAGACTCTAATTTTGTGATATAAAGTAAATGAAGTATCAGTTTTTGAAGGATATTTCTAACTTTTGTTTTTCTTTCAGGGTGATCTTGGAAAAAGAAGGGCCTCGTTCCTTGTTTAGAGGATTAGGCCCCAATTTAGTGGGGGTGGCCCCTTCCAGGTAAAAAATATTTCTAAAGTTAAACAAAATTATGGCAGTCTCTTTTGTTTTCAGGTTTTCTGTTTAATCATTGATAGATACAGTTAAATTTATAAATGTAGTTTTTAATGTTTATGGGAAGTTAAAATATTCTACTTGAGGATTTCAGATGCTAATCAGCAAATTTATATGGTAAAGTAATACTTGGTGGTAGGTAATGGTACTGAGTATTTCTAAGACTGACAATAATTCAGTACTATTTGAAATTAATAACATGAATGCAAAGTATATGTTGCCTAATGTAAGAGAGAGAAAGTACACTATTAGGATTTGTATTAAATTATAAATTGTCTTGTATTGGGGAGAGTACAGAATCATGGCATATTATAGCTAGAGGTTTGGAGCACTGTATTTATAGATGAGAGATTGAATTTTTTTTTTTTTTTTTTTTTTGAGACGGAGCCTCAAGCTATCCCCCTGGGTAGAGTGCCATGGCATCAC